AGTAGTAGTTGTGGTAGAAGTAGTAGTAATAGTAGTAGTAGTAGTAGTAGTAATGGTTGTAGTATTGTAGTTGTAGTAGAAGAGTTGATAGCGGAAGCAGTAGAAGTAAAAGCAGTAGTGGTAGTAATATCATTATGAGTACACTGTTAGTGAAAGCGGTGATAACGGTAAAAGTAGGGATATTGATAACTCGCATTAATAAGATAAGGAAGTACGAGTATTAATTGCTGACTAAATCCCCTGAGAGATTTAACAAAAGCAGCCACCAGAGTCTAGGCTTGTTGCTGGATATTCAGCAACTGGAAGGCGTGCTTAACAGAAGTCAAAGCAGTGGGAAACTGAAGATTAAGGAATGGAAGTAAAAAAATAAGAAAATAAATAAAAGAGAAGTAGTTGGTACTTGAAAACTGGATAAGAACGCGAAAAAATTGTGTGGCTGCTGAAGTTAACTTACCCGAGGACAGGCTCTGCCTTAAAATGGCGTACTCTATTTTGATACTACTGCTTGAACCATATGTGTATACTTGAATTGAAATGTTATTGGACAAACCAAAATGCACATCAAAGAGGATTTCTGGAGCAAATTTTTCATTGCAGCCATTATGATATAAAACTTCAGTGCCGTTTCCATCGGTAATCTTTGTGTAATCGCTAAAAGATTCGAAAGAGTTTATTCAAAAGGTTAGAAAATATGCTGAGGGAAAAACCGTACATTTCTCTCAAAGTTCATCTGAAATGATGTCTTTCAGAGTTGTGAACTTACTAACCATCTTTTTTTCGGAACAAAATGGTTGCTCGATTTGGGTGACGTGTAAGTAAAATTTTGAGAATTACAGAAATAAGAGCGGAAGATTGACAGGAAGTAGATCGAAATGACAAATAAACCAAATAACTCAATGGTCAATATAAATGAAAACTAACCCAATGATGTTTTCAAAATGAAAAGATTCATGTTAGAAAACGCATCAGCTATTCCTGAAAAAATTTAAAAACTGATTCTGTGTACCTGCAGTATTCAAGATTTATTTCTTGCACTGATAATACAGCTACAGCGTCAGGTATACCACCTCTCATGATGTTTAGATAACAACGAAGATAATAGTAGCTGTTTGGCGAATAGAATATTTCTCCAAAGGCTTTTATTAAATTTTGAGAACAACCTAATATGGAAAGAACAAGAATCAATAAAAGGTTAATCCTACTCACCTCATGATCCATTTTCAAATATATATATATATATATTTTTTTTTTTTCCATTTGGCTTTTTCAAGTATTTTTGCGTTGGTATGGCAAATTATAAGTCTGAAGCTAAAAGCTTAGAAAATCGTTAATTGTCATAAATTAGATATCCTTTTCTAATTTTTTTTTGTTCAGCACATTGTAGGTAATATCCACGATTGTCCATAAAAAGCTCCTTCTTGTTTTGTTTTTGATACAAAGGTGATTTAGTCCATTGTTTCGGAATCTTAGCAATTCATTCAGCATAAAATGAATGATGCCAATTAAACAAGGTTTCACTCTTGGCAATAAATTTGTCCACATTTTGGACAATAATGTAAACTTAAGTGCTGAGGTCCTTTTCGATCTTGATTTCAACAAGACAAGAACCTTTATCAAGAAAATTCGAAAAAATATATATTGTGCTTCTTTGTAACTGAAATGAATTATTTCACCCGTTGTCCCGTAGTAGTCGTACGACATCGGTCCTCGTCCTTTGGATGTAAAAGCCGCCACTGCAACACGATATCTCTCAGCCGGCTTAAGTCCTTTCAACACGAACTGCGTTGGATAAATACCACTTGTGTTGATAGTTTTATACGGTGACCACCAATTATCATCTTCTCTATAATAAATGATGTAACCCAAAATCTTTCCATTTGCATAGATCTGAGATAGAGGGTTCCATTCCACTAAAAGGTCAGTTGTATACTCCACACTTGTCACTCGTATACCACTCGGCGCTCTACTCGGGACTGAATTAAAGAATGAAACACAGTATTGACTTTGCTCGTATAGGCTCATGTTAGGATGGATAAGTTAGTGTTCGAGATATATCTAAAACGTCAAGGGCAAGTGTTCCTTTACTTAGATAGTGACTCAAGATAATTTTGTGAGGGGGTCAGGGGTAACCTCTCTGAAAAACTTTGAGTAGGCATGTATCTCTATCTCCATAGCAGGTTCTTAGGCGGACCATTTCTTACTACAATTTTAAGTTTAGACGTTGATGAAATGACAACTCAGGGTGATATAGGGGGTTCTGAACTTTTTTTTGCCCAGTCATAAAAAAATTGATCCTTTTGATCCAAGCCATTTTTATACACAGCAGGATGGTATACATAAAAAGACGGTATGCGATACTGAAGTCACTACACTGGTCGATACGTTGGGTAGGTCGTTTCGTCTCCTTCTCTTTGGCGCGTGTAACAACGTACATGAAAATATTTCTCAGATTGGTGGAAGACGAATGCAATTTTCATGTCACACGAGTGCAAATTGTAACACGACTGCAAATTGCAAATAGCGTCTGTCTTGACTCTCTGGCATGCTTTTTTCGGGCTCGTGCAATTTTGTTGTCTTTGGAAAATTTACTTGTGCTTATTCACATCAAATTGCACTCGATATCGTGTTATTTGGTATAATAAAAAACTAACTTACTTCCTTCGTCGGTCATAGTTACAAAAACTGCACTTTTAAACGGTGTCCCTTTGCTATCCACGATGATAACGTAAATGTTGTATTCCGTGTAAATTTCAAGGTTTGTTATCTCGGATGATGTTGTGTTTCCAGGTAGTAACTTTCCGCTGGATACGTTGCTAACGTTCATCATTCTTTCAGCAATGGCCACGTAGAAACTTATTCCAAAACTGAGCTCATTAGCTGGGTTATTCCAGTATATTCGTATACTTGTAGTGGTTTTGTTCGCGACATTGAGGTTCCAGTTAGCCAGGGGTCGAGCTAAATAAAATGACAGTCGTTAGTTAATTATACTATTAACCAGTATTGATACATCGGGACTTGTCACCACTCTCTTCACTTAGTCCTAAATTGGTGTGCATTTCTCGTTTTCCAAGCCTGCTTGCTCAGGGAAATTAAAATTTGAAATACAAATAAACGACAGTGCTATTGCTTATGCGAAATAATTTCTAGAACATCTTATGATCGTTGTTGCACTCAGAAGAAAAAGGTGATTATTTTGTCAACTATCTCTTATATTTTAACCCTAAAATACAAACATAATCGTGAAATTGCAATCGCATTTAAATCGATGAAATAAGATAAATTGTTTTACTTTTATATCGCTTTTACTCACCTGAATCAAAAGCTTGATTCATAATACCGTAGTCAATGTTGATATAGCTCAAACTATAGATAAGTGAAGCTTGAATGGTAACATTTTCGGAAGATCCGAATGAAATTTCTTGGAAATGTGTCAAAGACAAATTCCGTCTGTCTATGGACACAACCTCTGTCCCATTTCCATCAAACACTTTGACGTATTCACTAAGGGATAATGTAAAGACCGTAGATATAAGCACATATAGCAGTTCCTTATTCGTAACAGAGAGCCATATTCAGTGGTTTCACCAGACCCAACTTTGTGTGGACCGGTATGTTCATATTGTAACCAGTACTTGCCTAATTTTTAACAGAAACTTGAAAGAAATAACTTGAGCGCCAAGCCTACCTGGTGTGGCCAAAGTACAGTTGATGGATCGAAACAACAGCAAATTTTTTAGATATACCACCGTTTCCGATCAACCAGTTACAGTAAGGATCAAATTTACTCGTATATCTTATGTCCAGTCTTCCAAAAGATTGGTTTAACGCCTCCTTGCATTCTGAAAAATTAACCAACATCGCTAGTACCATAGAGTTCCACCTTTGAAGGGCTATACTGGTAGGTAATTTTCAGATGCCATGATTGAAGTAATTTGGCTGACCACACATAATCTTCGAACAATTACCCAGCCGTTAATTTTTTCACTTTACATGGAAAAAACCGTTTTTTCATGACCCAGATACCAAAAAATTGATGCTCTGGTTCAATCAGAAACTATTATAAATTCTTCGAAAAAAAATTGAGTCCCCTGTTCACTTTTACTAGATGAAAAAATAAAATGTTAATGTACTCCATGTGTACCTTTACAAATTCCAGGGACAATGGAGACGTCATCAATGGCAATGTCACCCGTGTAGCTTGTACCTCTGATTCCCTCGAACTTTATCTAAAACACAAAAGGGATTGGGCTAACTGAGAATCTTGCAGTGATGTGATGTTCTGATAAATCTTATTTTAATTCGAACCGGAATAAAAGGGTTATGAAACCAAGATCAAAAGTAGTCTTATGTACTTATAAACGGGCTATTTTCCTCCACACAATACACCATACACATGTAAGTTAGCCTTAATTAAGCTATAAATCTTAGATGAAAAGACAGCTTACTTTATTCTGCAACGTTGCTATATTAATCTTTTCGCTCAACCATAGATTTCCCTGATTTCCTGATTTCGTGAACACTTTCGTTCCTCCATTGAATACATTAAAGGTATGAACTGTGTCTCCGTACATGTGATAGTAAAACGATAAACAAGATGAGTTCCCTACATCATTGCTTGGTACAGAATACTCGAGTATGGCATTGTCCCAAAGACGTCGAGGCGAAGATGTCTCTATGTACATGTATTTTCCTGGAGGAAAACATTAAACGATATGTTAAGGTCAGTTTTCACTCACACACACACATACACGTTTGCACCCGGTCATTTGCGGTGTTTTGAAGGAAAGAGAACCGCCAACATTAGAACCATCAACTCTTTATGATGCAATGTGCACGTTACCCAGTTATATCACAAATAAACCTTGTTTCCACTGGTCTTTATGGCATACTTTTTTTTTAACAAAACTCGAACTCGAATATAGCCACGCCATAATTATGGTTGGAGACTCGCACTACAACACCCTGTATTGGTTCCAACCCATTTTCATCACGCAGCAGAAGGTTTGAAGGACACAGGGGCAGGACTAACGAGCTTACCAAATCCTCCATGGCCAGAGGACGGTCCTGTATTGTATGAAGGAGTGGGACCATGAAGGTTGGTCCAATCAAAGACATCCTGGTAATGATCGTCTGCCCAGCCATAACACAAACCATTGTCAAAGTCGCAACCTAGAAGTGTAAGACAAAAATTTTGGTTGTTTACACTCATATCTTTGCGAGAAATTACAGCTTAATCACCAAATGAATGGTGCATTTGATAAGGAGTTGTTTCCCCAAGTACATTCAGGCTCTATCAGCTCCAGTTTAATCAGAAACTATTATGAATTCTTCGAAAAAAAAGTATTTCTTTGTTCTCTTTTTCTTGATGAATGAGAAACGACTGTAAGATAAAATGTTAACGTACTCCAGGTGTACCTTTACAAATTCCAGGGACGATAGAGACGTCATCAATTGCAATGTCACCCGTGAAGCTTGTACCTCTGATTCCCTCAAACTTTATCTAAAACACAAAAGGTATTGGGCTAACTGAGAATCCAGCAATGGTGTGACGTTCTGATGGAAAGACTTGACTCATTTTGCCATTTGTTCACTACATATGTAATTCAAGGATTCCTTCCACCCTTGCTCTTGTATTTAGCGTTTCCGTAACCTGCAGACTGTGTCTCACTGGTGTTTTGCCCCAAGCGGCAAAGGGTGTGGGTTCTACGCAGTTGGAAGGTCTGTGGGGGGTCTGGAACTCATTCATCTTACCAGAGCCCTCGTAGACCTCTTGCACGCTCGCATCGTTCATCAGCGCCAAACATGCAAGCTTCGTCGCTCGCGTTGCAAAACCATTGAGAGTCTCCTCACAATGCTTCCTTAAATTAAGTGATGCGGGTAAATCCTATTTTTATTCGAACCAGAACAAAAGGGTTATGAAACCAGATTCAAAAGTAGTCTTTCTGTAAATATGAACAGGATATTTTCCTCTGCATAGTACTCCATACACATGTAAGGGAACCTTAATTAAGCTATAAATCGTGCATGAAAAGACAGCTTACTTTATTCTGTAACGTTGTTATACTGATCTTTCCCTTCAGCCATAGATTTCCCTGGTTTCCTGATTTTGTGAACACTTTCGTTCCTCCATTGAACACATTAAGGGTGTGAACTGTGTCTCCGTACATGTGATAATAAAACGATAAACAGGAAGATTTCCCTTTATCATTACTTGATACAGAGTACTCAAGTATGGCATTGTCCCCAAGACGCCGAGGTGAAGATGTCTCTATATACATGTATTTCCCTGGAAGAAAACGTTAAAACGATATGTTAAGGTCAGTTTTCACCCACAAACACACACACAGACATTTTTACTTAGTCATGCGCAGTGTTTTGGAGGAAAAAGAACCGCCAACATCAGAATCATCAACCTCCTACAATGCAGTGTGGACATTATTTAGTTGTAGCACAAATAAACCTAGTGTCCACTGTGTTGAAGGTATATTATAGCCACGTCATATAGTTGGAGACTCACACTACAACACTCTGTCTCGAACCTTGCGTATACGTGTGAGTCAGACAGAGAACTAGGTTCCTACCCAAAACTAGCAATCATATTCAGAGTTCATTTTATCACACAGCAGAAGGTTTGAAGGACATAGGGAAAGGACTAACGAGCTTACCAAATCCTCCATGGCTAGAGGATGGTCCTGTATCGTATGAAGGAGTGGAACCATACTGGTTGGTCCAATCAAAAACATCCTGGTAATGATCGTCTGCCCAGCCATAACACAAACCATAGTCAAAGCCACAACCTAAAGACGTAAAATAAAAATTTGTGGTTGTTTACAATAATATCTTTGCAAGAAATTACAGTCAAATTATCAACTTAGTGGTGTATTAAATAACAAGTTGTTTCCCCAGGTGCAACCAGGCTCTATCAACAAACCTCATGCAATGCAAAGGTTCCCTTCAAAAAGATAATAAAACATAAAACAAAAAAGCAACCCAAAGAAGAAGCAAATATGAAAATATGTAGCTTCCATTTAGCTGAAAATATTGGCTTCCAAGATGCACAAAGGCAGTTGTCTAACGAGATCTGATTACTTACTGTGTTCAGCGCCAGTCAGCAGGGCACAAGATATCAAAACTACAAAGAAAATATTCAAATAAATCAGTTACCTTGATAAACTTTCAGTCATTTGCGTCATCGAAATTTAAAACAGCAGGCATAAAGCAAAACAACTTTACGCTCAGGAAAGATGCGTCCGGGTACACGTTACCTTCAGTGTTGATTTTTTATTTGTGTAATTTCTCAGATTATTGGTCCTTATTGCACCAGATTTTGTCAAAATCACAGTGCAAGGGAATTTGAATGTTGAGCCCCAATTTAAGAACGCCCCACTTGCAATTTCGAGATAGTTCTGAGCAGCAGATATAACTTTATATGTAATTACAGAAACGCATCTGTTCTTTGTAATACGGCCGCAAGGAGTGGCTGTAAACGATGCAGAGAATTTCTTGTCAAAGCTTATTTTTTGTCTCTCAAAGTTTTATCGGACTTTCGCAATCCATCCTTGTTTCCATTAAAATTTAGCTCTTCTATGACAGTAAAGCAAAACAAAGCATCATCCCTCAAATACATATTTTACAATGGCCAGAAGAAAGCAATTTAATCTTAACTCTTGAGTGACAAAGAAAAAATTACTCCTTACAATATCAATACAACATCAACCAGATAAGTGATGAGAATAAGAAAAAACATCAATTTGGGGATAATTAGTTGATCCAGTACTTAATTCGCTGAACTAACATTATAGGAATTGTATGATTGACAGTAAGGAGAATTACAAACTTGATCTGAGAGTTAAAGAGTTAACCGAAAACTCGGTGTAAGGAATCAAGCTTCAAATATTCTTTTGCACATTCCATAAACAGGAAATACGGAAATTTAAACTCAAAGGTTGCAGTTTAAAACGGCAGGAGAAGTATATTTTTTCATAAGCAAGGGTACGCTACGTGCCCCAACAGAGCTCACCAAGTTTCTACATTCCTTTTCCATGTATTCAAAAGACAACAATCAAAGTTTGGAATCAAACTTCAAATATTTTTTTCGCAGATCTCATAAACATGAGACATGGAAATTCAAACTCAAAGGTTGCAGTTTTAAACGGCTTGAAAAGAATATATTTTATATATATCACAGGCGGCCCAAGCTCCAGCTGTGAGATGATCATCTTGCGCAATAACAGTCATGGCGGAATTATAAGAGTTTGTGTGGGCATATTTACGACCGCCCTCAGGAATAAAAAAAATACGTCAAATTCTCAAAAAAAATACCTCACCTTACTTCCACAGTGTATCATTTGTTATCTGACCGCTTACTTTGATGAAAAGAGCCCATTTTAGCGAGTTGTTGATTTCGACGTTTTCAACGTACATAAGAAAAGCCCAAGGCTGAACACTCCATTTCCGAACGCCTGAGCCGAGAAGCGAAAAATCCAAGCTCAAAATGACCGGGTGACCACAAATCCAACGTAGAATCCAAGCAAATATACTTTAGTTTCATTTCAATTCACTAAAAACTCAATCTTCCCCGCGCAACCGACACTAAGCCGCAGTTTGCTTCAAAAATTTCCAGTTTAGAGGTTTCTAACAGCCCACGGCCACATCAACCTTGACACACGACCGTTGAAAACCAGCTTGGTAACCCTACCTCCTTTTCAAACTGAGCTTCGCCGGGGACCATACCGTCAGCTATCGTCAATAAATTGTCTTAGAACCACGGGTCCCCTCAAAAGAAATCGATCAAGAGGCTATTGTTTCGATCGGTCAATCGAATTCGCCTCTGGAAATGTTACAAATCTGTGATTGTTTTCGGAGTCAGAGGAAAACCTTGGAAGGATTTATTCCAGTATTCAATTTAGTTCTATTTGGACACACTTAGTTTAATTTTGCCAACAAGATAACTGTTATTTCGTTTCGTCCGCATGGATATCCAGCAACAATATTGACCACGATTTCCATTTCAGATACGAGTTCGAATTGATTACGTCCTTGCTGCAACCGTGGAATAGACTATTTTTTACCGACGACATTTTTTCCTTTTGAAATTGAAAGGAAATTATCGAGATTTACGAAATCAACTGTGCGGTTTGCAACTATGCCTGTAAATTATTTTGAATTTGTAAACATTTCCGGAGGCGAATTCGATTGGAAGCAAACTGCGGCTTAGTGTCGGTTGCGTGGGGAAGATCGAGTTTTTAGTGAATTGAAATGAAACTACAGTACATCTACTTGGATTCTGCGTTGGCTTTGTGGTCGCCCGGTCATTCTGAACTTGGATTTTTCGCTTCTCGGCTCAGGTGTTCGGAAATGGAGTGTTCAGCCTTGGGCTTTTCTTATGAACGTTGAAAACGTCGAAATGGACAACTCGCTAAAATGCGTCCTTTTCATCAAAGTAAGCGGTCAGATAACAAGCGTTACGCTGTAGAAGTAAGGTGAGGTATTTTTTTTGAGAATTTGACGCATTATTTTATTCCTTAGGGCGGCCGTAAATATTCCCATACAAACTCATAATTCCGCCATGACTGTTATCGCGCAAGATGATCATCTCACAGCTGGAGCTTGGACCGCCTGTGTATATATACGCTATGTGCCTCAAAAAGAGCTCTCCAAGTTTCTGCATAGCTTTTTCATATATTCAGAAGACAACAATAGAGCTGATTGTCGCAACCACTATGAAGCAACATGTCCACTCGAGCAATGACTCAACCGCTTAGATAAGTCGTTTGATAAGTATTCATCTATCGTAGGCTTTACGAGTGAAATTCTAAAGCTTCTCAATAATTTAAACATGTTCTTTTGTTCCCTCTGTTCCACAAGGAAACATTGCGTGCTAGAAGAGATAAACGGCAGCACAGAGCGGAAGTTATGGAGCAGTCATCCATGCCAAATCAAAGTCATTGTCCACCTTGAATGAATTTCAGTAACCGCATGCATAACAAGAAAAACTTGAATTGAGTGGATTTTGAAGCATATTAAAATTATGGGGGGCTTTCATCTAGATGAGATCTAAATGTTTAAGAAAGTCTACATTACGAAAAGTAACAACATTATGCCTCAACGCGACCCCGCGCACAGTTTGCCATGAAAAGTTCAGCAAATTATTCACTTTAAAGCTTCCAACAGACCCATTGTCGCCGTCGTGTCTATAATTATGAAAGACGCATTGTTATTCCTCATTGTAATGATTTATAGACACATCAAATGGTTTATAGAATTTTTTGCTCGAAATCTAGTCAAATAGTGTATATTCAAAGAGGAGACGAGGAAAACAAGCTGTAAGTAAATTCAGGGGTTCAACTAACCACCTGCTATGGCCTCTAGCCAAGTTTTAAATGGATGAAGCTGACTGAGTATTAATTCCAGAGTGTGTTAGATTGATATTCTACACAAATTATCTGAATTTCACGTTATAAAATTAATTTTTATCCTGACTAAGCATCATACATGTGTAATCATGTTGCAGCTGCTCTTAATCTGGTTTATCCTGACCCTGTTTTGAAAATGTAGCCATGATTTCAACGATAGTTTATTTTAGGGAGTACAAAAATATTCCGAAAGAATGCTATTTCCAGACTGATTTATAATAAGATTTGCAGTGCCACTTATTGTTGAAAAACAATTGCACTCTTGTGGGGATTTTGAAGAGGTGCGGGTTTTCTGCTGCACTTATAACGAGCAAGCATATTCTACAGTGACTTTTTTTTTCTTTCATCCGATAACAGATATCACTACGACTACACGAGAAGCAAAATAAAGTACTCTTATTAGATCAGGCGAGGTCGACTTTAGGATTTGTCTTGATGAATGGAGATTTTGATAACTTCATACCGTTTGTTAAAGAGTCCGCTTACGTAGAATAGTTCATTTGATAAAGTCAAAAGTAACCTGACTAGTAATTAATAGATTGGAAACTCACTGTTTGTTACCACGTAGAAAATGGAAAGGAGAATGGTCTTTCCAGAGCGCATCATCGCATGTTCCAGTTAGTTCGTCTCACACCCAATGTCACAAACAAAACACTTTCACCCCAGTTGACCAAATTAAGAATTTTAGTGCTCCCGTTTCAGCACATGTACAGATGACGTAATATTTTCAATAGACCAATAGAAATCACTTAAAGCAAATATAATGACAGTCACAACTAGACAAGCAAATGAACGACCAACCTTGTCGATGAGTGGCATATGTGGCCATAGAACTGCCTCTTTTGCACAAAGCATGTCCGATAGCACCTTGAGCAGTCCATTGTTCCGCCAAGTGCTTTTGATAACATGAAGGACAAAGTCATAATAAGTTATAATAACTTGTTACACAAGTTATCTTACTTGCATTTTCCAGCCATGTCAGCAGTTTATGTTTCGATCTCCGTGCACTACATTTAAGGTCTTTTTGGTGCGAGATTTAAGATAGCAGCTCTTAGTCGCATTCGTATAAGATGTCAATCCAGCTGAAATATTCTTGAACGTATGGGGTATTATACTTGATAACCTTGATTCTCCTTTAGTCCCGATAGGCAGCACCTTGGTTAAGTTTCTTATGCTCTTTAATAGAACACCTTGTCTATACCCAAACCAGGTTAACAATAGGACCGCTCAAATTTCAAATCATGTTATCTACAACAGGCAAAATTGCATCTTGAAATATCCGAAAAACCATTTGTTTCTACTATATAAGGATATGAGGTGGCGTGGTCTGCAATAACTTGTTGAGGTTAAATGTTAATAACTTTTTTCTCCTTTTTTAGGCTGGTAGGTCAACATAAACTAAACTTGGAAGCACGTGTGAGACTTGATACTCTATAGTTCTGGTGCTTTTAGATCACTTTCGGTGTGCGAGATCAACGGCTGCTGTTTACAATATATGGGCGCGATGTTTGTGGCATGTAAAAGATCTCTTTCTTGTTACGGTACACGTCTTTAAAATTTGCGCTCGTCGTCTATGGAGGTTATACCTATCGGTTTTTAAAAGCACCGGCGTAAATAAGGGAAAAGCCTTTCGATGGCCGGATACATCATATAACTCCAAACTAGTGGGCCTCAACGATAAATTTAGGACAAGGGCTCCTATTTTCTTCAAATATAATGAATCTTTAGAATTACCTTAGCGAGGCTATATCACCTAGAACTAGAAATACCATGATACATTAGAAAGGCTTGGTTGGATTGCTCATTACGAGGAAAAGATTCTCAACCGTTTGAAAAACGTGGTCATGCATTAATTGTTCCGTATTATTCCTGTCCTTCGCGTGCTAGGAGCGTTTAACGCATTAAATACCTCCTTTTTATTATTATTATTATTATTACTATATTTATTACTATTATTATTTCTTTTATTATTTCTATAAGTTAAGGGAAAATTGCGAAAAGAAGTGAATTAATAAATGGGAAAAAAAGTTAACGATACTCTTTAAACAATCAAGGTTGCTTAATATAACACTAACTTTGGACAGAATTATGTCTAGTGCTCCATTGGAGCGCGACTCCATAATGAAAGCGAAAACAAGTGGCTCAAATATCGGCCAATGTGTACAACCTAACGTGTACCAGCTAAGTTTGTCATCTGAATCTAAAGGCTCGTTCGAATTTTAAGACGCGGCGGTCAGAAAGTGAAAATGTATTTTCTGATCGTCCTTAAAATAGCGAAGAACGAGCTGGAAGCTCAAATGAACTCAAGCGATTGTACGTATCTCTCGCTGTTGTTGTTTTGTTATATATAATAAGCAACATCTATCCAGAATTCAAAGAAACTACCTGTTATTTTAAACTGAGAAACACGCACTCCGAGATCGAGGAGTCTCGAAATTGACATCTGCATTGTTTGATAGAACGTGAAATGATATATTTATCACAGTTTGAGCTTTTCTTGAAATCAGGGCAGGAGGATGTAGGCTAGTCATCCTTGACATTTCAATGCCAACACTCTTAGTTCAACGACCAAAAGAAATCTGGAACTGTTGCAAAACGTAATTATTCATTTTAGAAAATTAAGGATTAAACTTTTACAACTCTGGGAAAATTTGTCTCAGGGTAAGTTTTATTGTTTTCTCCATGACTGTAGAAGCATACAGTCGAGCCTGTACTTACGCGGTCACCCAGAGGGAATGGCATAAGTGACCGCTGTGACAGTGGATACGAAACTAGCTCAGTCTGTTTAACAGAACGTCTACTTACTGCCTCATAAAAGCTGACCAGAAACAAACTCTCTAGTCCAATAGCAGCCAAATTATCTTAAATAGGTGTGGTTTGTCATCGTGGTAAATACCACTTTCAAAAGAGAATATACAAAATAAATGTATTTAGGAAAGCTCTGGCCGCCAAATTTCCGTAGATTTAATGATCATGACTCTCGAAACCAACCAAATGTCATGCAAAATCGCGAAGAGGCATTTAACCATGTGAACGTAACATAATTAATGGCCTCGCTTACCAAGTCGTGCATTTAATTACGAACGTGCTCAGACATGAACCTCATACTAGTATGGTTTAACTCTCCTGTAACTATCCCTAGTGGTGTTTACAGATGAATGGAACGTTAGAGAGTCTAGGGTCAACGCTCGGTCTCATCCTCCATAGGATTGGAGGCCTTACTACGTGTTAGAAACCGATAGGAATTGCTTACTTCTACAGGCTATTATAAGTTTTTTTAAAAAACTTCAGACAAAACAACCGAGAAAAACTCAGTGAGGCAAAAGGATCAATGAAGTTCCATCCTTCTCAGTGCCTTTGTCTTAATTAATTAATTTCAAGTGTATTCGAAATAATCACAATAGAGAAAATTTTTATAGCTAACATAATTACCACTAGGAACTTCTCAACTTGCTCCTTTAAAGACACACATACATAGAGTCAAGATTTATTCGAGTTGATTAAGTGTAGCATATGTTGAATTGTATGGGGGAAATGATTCTCATTTTTCAAACACTGTATATTGAAATACACCTAATGAAACATTCAAACGTTAGCCAGTCGAAATTTTTTATCAATGGTCATTTAAATATTCAGTGCGAATGTACTCCATTCACCGTTTGTCAGAGTTATAAGTCTCTACAACTTCATCCTCTCGGAACCTCTTTGCTAACGTTGGATAAAGATATAGAAGAGTCTTTTTAGGTTTCATTTCTTTTCCGTTTAACTCTTTAACTGCCGTGAGTGACCAAGACAAGATTTCTCCTCACTATATCTAAAGAATATCATGCAGACTAGTGATGAGAAAAAAATAAAATATCAATTATCAGATTACTAAATGATCTGATACCAAATTCTCCAAACTAACATAAAGAGAATCGTTTGGCAAACAGTAATGAGATTTTGGGAGTTAAAGAATTAAGCCAGCAGACCAAGGAGATGCACGCTCAATTAGATCGGAGACATATTTTGAATATACGCTCGGTGAAATGCGCATCTTTTTTGACGTGAGTAGAGATATAAATTTTTTTAAACAAAGCGATGGAATAGTGTTTTTATGAACACAAAGGAAAAGGTTTGTTTAGCATCTGACGACAAAAATAACTCATGTAAATCTACATTTCCATAGAAGTTATTTCAATCTATCTCTCAATATGTCACAGTTGCACACTTCCGTCGGTTTCATGAGTTACTTTGAAAACTGCGCGTTTGCTTTCGGGTAGATAAATTGGAAATAATGAAAATCAATTAAATCAAGTTGAGGTCTCAATGCAGTTTTGAACGATTTTGGAAATCAGTTAAAAAACAAAACATGATCGAATCCATGACTTAGACTAAATAACAGATGTACTAGCTAAATAACAGATGTACTATTTCGAAACTGGCATGGCTAGTTCTGAAAAAAAAAATATATTAGAAATGAAGCTTACATGCACGAGCTGCCGATCTAGGAACAACATGGAACAGTTAAAGAAAACAGATATCTCAAGGCAAAGGACACTTGTCAACATAACGAGGCAACTGATGGTCTTAGAGTGCAGGATATTATTGCCTGTTTTATTTCTACTGTTTCACTGTTGATGTTGATTAACCAAACATACAATGAAAAGGGTAATGGTTTGAGTTTTCCTTCGTTTGATTTATATTGTGTGTGTGTACATGTTGCATTTGATTTTTCAGGTGCTAAGATTAGGCGATTTGATTACGTGCGACCGAAACGCATGAATGTCGTGTATTTTTAAATACATGTTTAAACGCGAAAATTACAATTTCTTCGTGAAAATCGAGGAAAATACTTTTTTAAAAAAACTCCGTTTTTCCACTTGCCAAGTTGTTATTGGTGTGCAGTTTGTTATCGGAGAACTTGTCATCAAATATATCAGCCAGGCATATGGTGTCAACTTATCTCCCTGATACACGTTTGACGCTCATCAATACAGCCGACCACAAAGTTATGTAGTATAATTTGCTGGCTTTTTTTCTACGAACTTTCACGATCAAGTCTTCCTTTTTCTCCTCACTTCATTAGGACACATCCCATTACAATTCCGATCTCTGGAGTAACAAGCATAATACAGCCGTGAAGCAGGCTTGACTGGACTTGATGATCAAGAGAGAAAGTTACTGACTTACTGAAACACCAAATTCTCTAAGATCTGCCTTGGTGTGAAAATCGGACACCACATCAACTTTATCGAAACCAGGAAGGCAGGTAAAACTCTATACTCGTTGATCTCAAATGGGAAATACCAGCAAACCTCACCTGGCCGAGTTAGATGGAAGATGCTGATGGGTGTCATGGCTTCTCTGCAAGATAACTGTAACAAAGAAGGGTTCAACGTTTCCCCGAAGGTAAGAATCGGTTCCTTGGTAACCATGAAGAGAACTGTTTGAGCATTGATTCCAGAATTGGTTTAAGCGTTGGAGGTTATCCTGATGAACAAAACTCATGTGGAAATCTGGCTTCCCATGGTGGAAACAATGGAAGCAAATGTATCACAGCAATGGGATACACTTTGCATCATAACAAAATACGTTCGTTCACTTGTGATGGACACAGTTATTGTTTCATTGGAAGCTTCCCATTGTAAAAAATAATATGCAATTAGTGTTAAGATGTTCCCACTCCGTAGTCTCAGTTTCATGATATCCCTCGAGTTAGTAAATGAAATACATCGAAATTGACCTGAAAATTAACAAAGTTCTAAATTTTTCATTTAAGACTCAACGTAAGCCTTAATCGTAATCATGCGTAGCTTAGATTACTCTGTGCATCCACGTTTGCTTTCGGGAGATGAACAAATAAATTCTGGAAAGATGTGATAATAACAAGATACAAATTAGCTTGTGAATTAAAAAATGCTTTTCGACGAAAATTTAAACAGGACATCTGCTTGTATGCACTAATTTGGCAGCGGGTGGGTAAATTTCTTTTCAAATCACAACCATGATAACAGACGAGATTTATTATGATCTCTGAGTCTAATCGATATAAAGCTGAAATATCGAGTGCAGTGAGTCAGATGAGGTGTAAAATATGTCCATGCTTCTTGCCGATCTTCCTGAATAGTCATTGCCTAGGAATAATCAATGTGGACAATCCAGCTTGCAGGTATTTTATTTCTAATTTTCCTACCTAAACCTCAGGGGCCTGTTATTTAAAAATGGAAATGGTGACCTCAAGCAGGGAGAATATTGTCTTTTCTCACCTTGGCGACTCGATAACCTTTTTCACATTGAGAACGACACTTTTGCCGTCGGAATTCTCATGATGTGAGGTCAGCATCCGTATAATCATCTTTTCTTCTTTACTTTCACTTCTGATCTCTTACTCGATATTATTTAGTTCGCTATTTGGTTTCTTTTTCACTGTTATTAGTTTTTCAGCTATAGATTGTTAAGCAACCACACAGACTCCAAAGAAAATGACCTTGTTGACATCTTTCATTCAAAGTGATAAGCTGAAGGCTAAAGGTCATGAACACTAACAAACTAAAACTGTATCATCGAGACCAAGAGCTGCTGGCTGATAATCTTCAAGGGGTATTCATCATTTATAAATTCAAAGTCAGCTGGAAAAGAAACAGTAATTAGAAATGAAGATTATAAGCAAGAACTGCTGATGTTAGATTAACATGGAAATCTGAAAGGAATCAGAAATCTCCAGAGAAAGGGAATTGGCGAATCTTACGCGCCAACTGATGATTCTCAGTGCAAGCAAACAAGCCGATTACCAGAGGCAACTGACACTTTTAGTTTGCTGGCGATTATTGCCTATTTCATTTCTATCTTTTCTCTTTTGTTGGTGAGTGATCGTCTGCACAAAGGATGTGGCTGCTCCAGATCCATGAGTGAAGGTCAGTTTCCAAACCTCTTACGTTGATTTTTTTGTTATCCGCCGAGGTCACGGTTTCAAAATCGTTAGAGGTCTTGACTTGCTTAGTTCTCTTTGTCATGCATCGGTCATTCATGTGACTTGCACTGTTTCTTCTTCAAATTAGTGTATATTCAGCTTACAAATAAACATTTTCCTCTTCAGCCGACAAAAGCCTGCAGAGGTCTCATGTTTCCAATAAACATG